ATAATCTGACCAGTGGATGTTCAGGACTGTACGGAGACAGTGTTGATGGAAGCGTTCTAGGAGACGCAGGTGTTGGTGGTAAATGACCCACGATTCGGAATCTAATATATGTTAAGTATTATAGTGTCTCTTTTGTAAGCACATAACAAATACAGCTAAGAGCAGGTGAGCTCAGAGACAGCTGAACAAAGACTAATGTGCATCACCTAAATATGAGCAAGGGATGCATCTGCTCTCCTTGTGGTGGATACTGCTGGGTACAACTGGATGTTGGCCCCTTCTCCCCTGCAACTAGCACCAGGACAGGAAGATATAGCCTCAAGCTGTACCAGGGGAGGTTTAGGTTGGCCACTAGGAGGAATTTCTTCACAGAAAGGGCGATTAGACATTGGAATGGGCTGCCCAGGGAGGTAGCGGAGTCACCATTCCCAGAGGTGTTTAAGACTGGACCGGACCACGGTCTACTACACAAGGTGGTGTTCAGTCATAGGTTGTACTTGATGATCTTGAGGTCTTTTCCAACCTACTTGATCCTATGGATACAAGGCCTGTAGAATATATGTTTGTCCTAGCCTTCATACTTGGAAATTTCATAAAGTCCAAACAAAAACTGGTTATTTCTAGGTACTCTTTAGTTAGAGTACATCTTGCAGACACATTATCTTGAAGACAATTATTAGCCATTTCGAGTTCCACCATTCCTTGGTGTGCCAGCCAAAAGCTTGTAAAAGGAAGGCTAGGGAGGAGAGCTTTACTATGTCCCTTAAAAGTCAAAGATTCAGTATTTCACTATACACTCCCACCCCGCCCGCCGGTCTCTCGGGGGCTCCGGGCAGTGACCAGCCCGGGGTGGTGGTGTCGCAGCACGACCGGGCCCCCCGGCACAGGCCGGGCAGGGAGGGGCCCCACGGAGCCGGGCCGGGCGGCCGGCAGGCCCCACACCTCCGCGGGGCAGGGGGCGGATCGGGACGGCTGGTACTTACGAATTTGGGCTTCCTGCCGTCCGCCGCCTCCTCGGGGCCGCCGGCGCTCCCAGTGCCCGGCGGGCCCTTCCTACGGAGCCCCTTGTTCTCCCGCCCGCCGCGACCCGGCGGCGAGGACGGGCCGCAGTAACGGGGCCGCGGCGGCTCCATGGCCGCGCCCGGGCAAGGAGGGGAGATGGATGCGGGGGGTGCGGGGGAGCGCTGCCCCGCGATCGGGCCCAGGCCCGGCGGCCCCGGCCGAGCTGGGCGCCTGCGATTAGTGCGGCTTAGCTGGGCTCGGCCAGGCAGGGCGCCGCGGGGGGAGGAGGGGGGCTCAGCGCTAAAGCCGCCGCCTCAGCGCAGCAAGGGATTTAGCGAGGAGCAGCCCCTAATCCCGACACACCTGGCCGGAGCACGGGCAGGGATAGGGGCGCGCGCTCCCAACGGCCGCGGCTGGCGCAGCCCGGGAATGTCCCGCCGTCCGAACCTTCCCGCCACCGCCGGCACCGCCCCCGCGGCCCCGGCACGGCCAATCCGCCGCGCAGGGGCGGGAGCGGCGCCTCCCGGTTGGCTGCGCTCGCGCCAACCTCCGGCGGATCAGCGGCTCGCGGCGCGGGCCGGGAGTTCTGGGCACCGCCCGCCCCCGAGAGCTCGCGCGCCCCCGGACCCCGGACTGCAAGGGCCGGGAACAGAGCCGGGAGCGGGATGGGAGTGGTCCCCCGTCAGCTCTGTGACAGTGCCGGCGAGAGATGGGAAAATCGCCCTGCTTTGAGGTACAGCCGCCTCCGTCTAAGGCGTTAAGATACACTTTCACACACATAACCCTGGAAGGAAGATTGTATTTCCTTACCTCTCACATGCTGCCTTTTCTTCTGCAGGATCTGAACGCGAGGCGTGTCCCTGCCCTGTTTGGCCTAGGATGCCAATTTTCAACTCCTAATTTTGTTAAAAATTCCGATTTCATACCTCGAGCCGCTGTTTGACAGTGGTTCGTCTATTTCTGTATAAACTTCTTATATAATTAGAGCGCTGATTTTTATAGGTAAATATACATTATTGTATGGAATCATAGAATCATCAGGGTTGAAAGAGACCTTTAAGATCATCCAGTCCAAGCGTCCCCCCAACACTGCCACTGTAACCCCTAAAACACCCAGCACCAGATCCAGGTGCCCCTTAAACACCTCCAGGGATGGTGACTTCATCACTTCCTTGGGCAACCTATTCCAGAGTCTGACCCCCCCAAACAGGGAAAAAATTATTTCTAGTATCTAATCCAAATCATCCCTGTCACAGCTTAAGGCCATTTCCTCTGGTCCTCTCAATGCAGGCACAGTGTAGAAGAGACCGACCTCCATCTCACTACCATCTCCTTTCAGGTAGAGAACGATATATGTATACATATGTAAAATATATAAATAATATTTCTAATATTACTTTTATACCATCTTGGTGGTATTGGATTAAAAAAGCAAAATAACACAGAAGAGACATAGTCCCTATCCAAAACAATGGCAGTGTTTCCATCATCCTTCTCAGGCCAGGTTTTTGTTTTGTGATGGTCACATGATGCCCTGGCTGTGCTGCCATGGCAAAAAGAACATGTGTATGAACATTCTGCATTTGTTTAATTCAACCTGTTGTTTTCCATCACTGAAAGACCTCCAAGACTCTGGTTTATGGGAAAATACATAAATAAAGATTTCATTATGCTATAAACTGTCAAATTGCGTATGTTTGGCAAAACAATTGAATTCTCATTACTACATACAATACCTTGCATTTATCTTTATTTTAAATTAAGAGTAGTTAGAATAATGATGCAAACCAGAGACTTATGTAGGGAAAACTCTTTCCAAATCATGGTGTTAGGAATCATTAAGAAATGGAAGGCTAACACTCAGCATTCATATCTCTAGAGTATTTTCTAAAGCAGAAAAAGTTTCCTTTCTCTTCTGTCATTCAGTAAGAAAGATATTCATGTTTCCATATTATTTTTATCATTTTCTGCTGCCTTGAATGCACTGAAAATAAAATGCTCCCCCCAACAATTGCGTTCACTTTTCCATATAATCTTATGGGCTATTATTCCAAATGCAATGACTTCAAAAGAATGAAAAAATCTCATTCCTTCATCATGACTTACACAGGCGGTGACATACAAAATGTAACGTCTGCCAGTACACAGAGCTCTGGCGAAACAGCAGAATTCAGCCCCAAACTGGACCTTTGTAAGGCTGGGTTTTAACACAAGGGAGCTCTGGCACTATGCAGAGTAGATGCTGTAATTATTTGTATACATTAAACTATTCATCCTTTGGCAGCTTTCTATAGATGTTTTGTAAATTTATATTGGAATTCTTCATGGAGAGTATAATTAGCAGAACACTGTTTAATGTCATGGTTAATGATTTCCTGGAACATTTGATTAGAAAATTAATCAGCCTATGTGTGCATATGATAAAGCTGTTTAAATGGGCCTCCTAATTGCACTGTGGTAGAATACAATGGCTTGTGCCAATATATCACTTTCAAGGTACTGTGTTGCAATAACAGAGAAACACTAAAGGGAATAATTTATCAGACAGTTTTACTAAGCCAAAAGTAAATGTTAGTACTTTTGATCAATTATTATTTTATACTACCCCTCTTGCGCTTGTTAGGTGCTCCACAGAACAAATACACTCTGGCAACAGTTTAGCTGGCCAAGATTAATCATGACTGAGGAAAAAATTTTGAGAAAGAAATGCATCAGTAATACTAAAATTGTGCAGAGATTCTACTTAGCATGCATACTGTCCAGGGCATGCAAATAGCTTGGCCATTTTGCATTATTTTTGTTCTGGAATGAGAAATTTTCAGTTATAAAAGTCTGAGACAGTAAGTGCATAAAGTTAACCATGAATATTTGCAAAACTTTAGATTGATGGATTTATTTAGGCTTTTAACATTCTGTTCCATCTGTTGGGTTTTTTTAATATACTGTAACTCAAGTCTTAAAAAAAAAAAAGCCTTCCTAATATTCATTGTTCCAGGGACACAGTTTTTCAAATAAATTCCTGTGCAAAGTGTTTCAAAGCTGGCATTTGACTGAGTTTAGGCAGTTCTCCATATTTCATTTGGAGACACCTGATTCTTTCCTATAAGATGAAAATAGAACAGTCAATTAACTGTTCTTTCATTAGGTTCATCCTCTTAAACTGTAACTAAAGTTATGAAGGATTTTGTCAGCAATGTTGTTGTTTTTATAAAGCAAGGATACAAGTTTAATACTAACACTATTTAAGTATGATAACAAGGAAAACCTTCCAGAGCCACAGTTCCTATGGCTTGGCAGAAGCAAGGAAATGACAAACAGACATGTCTTTTCAGGAAAATGGCTTCTTCTTTCTCCTGTGAAAAGCAGCAAACAGGCCATCCTAACCCAAATCCCTCAAACTTGCATAGCTATTTTTAAGTTATACCAGTTCAGCATGTATTTTATACCTTTCCCAGTGTCTTATTCAAACAGTTAATACAGGAGTTACACCAAGATGGTGTAACTCACAACGCCAATAAAAATTACATTGGAAAAACATGGCCAGTCTTCATGTCTTATAGAGGCAAATGATGCTGTTTTATCTAAGTGTAACAGTTCATTTGGATACATGTCCGGAATAAAGACAAGTGCCAGAAATATTCAAACACACAAAATATCTTTTATTACAGTGAGAATAAAAATAATAATAATAAACTTAGCAAGAGGAATTAAAAACTAAAAGAAAGGATACAAAATAACTACCTTATCGGGTGGCATTAAAACAAATACTACGAACAGCATTTAATACAGTATTAACTAGTGAAAAGGGATACCAAAAAAAAAGGGATCTTAACACAATATTATGGATAACTATTAACACTATATTAGTTAGTAAAAAGGGAACTTAAAGGGAAATACTATGAACAATATTCAATAATAAAAGGAGAATTAAAGGAACACTAAAAGGATATTAAAAAGTTTGTTCTCTCAGTTGCTTCCTATCAATAAACTGTGCTTACCCACACAGACAGGCCAGGGCTGTCAGGATCTGCAGCAGCTGGTCGGTGCCCAGGCTTAGCGGGTGTCCCCGCGGAGCAACACAGTCTCGGTGGTAGGATGAGTATCGCTCGGCTCAGCAGCTCTGACACCCCATTTTTATCAGTTCCACATTACACTACGTAGGGCCAGTACGCAGTATAAGGTGATGCCTGAATGGCAGCCAAACACCGCCTAATCGTTACCTCATGGCAACAGTCTGCGCATGCCCTACTTGTAGGGCAAGGGGCGAGCGACCCCTGCCCACATAATCTTCCTCCCATCATCATCTTTCTCACCCCTATGTATGACCTCTACCATTGTGTTTCAAGGGTAGATGTATCTATCTTGCAATATGTAGCAAAACCAAGGAAGAACTCAGCTCTGATAATAGCGGATATCAAGCTGACTTGCTAAAAAGCACAATGGACCTTACAATTAGCTTGTGCTATGAAGTTACATTGTACCATACTCTGGCTGGTTTCACATCCTAATATGATTCCTTTCTCACACCTCTATGCTCCATTGATCATCTAATTCAAAAGTACCCCCCTTACACTAAGGAAACCTTTAAGCGTTGTATTTTTATATTGCAACAGTGGTCATTAATAATTTAAATGTATTGCAATGTAATATCATTAAATGTAACCTATGGATAAGATGTTACTTAATTTTCACAGCATGGGTGGCTCACAAAACATATTATTCCATTATTACGATAATGGGTTGATAAAACCTCAAATAATTCATCTAGTCTAACCTATTAACTTTATTAAGGAACCTGTCTGTTGGCAAGTTCATCATACCAATAAATGAACAAATTTATGTTACAGTTATGAGAAAATTCATACTCTCTTCAAGTAATAAAGTTTTATGGAAGAAAATTTGCTATAGTTTTTTTTCCTGTAAGACAAACAGAATTATTTTGGCTTTTTGAACATCACTCGATTGTCATTTAGTCAGTGTCAATGTCACTATGGTAGAATATGTTGACTCTGCTATCTGTTTGTGGCATAGACTAGGGAAAATGAAAATCAATAGCTAAAACTCTATGCAGGAAGTAGGGAGGGACTTACGACAGGACAGATAATTAAAGAAAATGCTGTCTTGCCTGGTATGTTGAATGGCTTGTCTGTAGAGACAAGCAGCTTTGTGCCATTTGGATCACAGAGTTGGTAAAGTTCAACTAGTCAGACTCTTGGCACATACATTTCTTGTTTCTTAAAAATCTCTGAACTAGAGTCTTCTGAAAACAGTTCTTTTCTTCCCTTTCTTATATAAAAAGAAGTATTATGGTCATATTTCAGAAAAGTGTTATGATCATATTTTTTGCAATTCATTTCGCTACCGAGAGAAATACTTTTGGAAACCGGAATCTTCTTGACTTTGATCTCTATTCTTTATGCTAGGTGTCTTGGACAGTCACACTTGCACAATGTTATCAGTGTTAAGTGCCAATGCAATATGTTCCTTGCAACAGTTATAAAAAATACTTGGGTTTTAGAGAAACACAAAGGACATCAGGGCTCTTTTTCAGTTTTGCATGGCAGTAATTTCCAGGCATTTAGAAAACATGTAAGTAAAGGACTCAAGCTGAAATGACTTTTTCAGTGGGAGTTATGTCTAAAAAACTTCTATACATTTTTTATTATTACTGAAGAAAACAACAAAGCAAATGGTTTTATCAGATCCTGAAGGTACAGTTGTATAGCTGTCTTTACTCAAGAATGTACAGACAAGAAAAGCACCCCCGAGGACAGCGTATGTCACGATCCTGTTACTGATTTTATATCAGTCATACCTTTTTGAAATATCAAACAAAATTTTACCTGCAATGTATTTATTTTGTCTCTTTTCTAGTCAGAATTTAAATTAAGGACTTTCAGAAGTAGTTGTAGTCTGAATAGAACTATCCTCCTTCTTGAAGCTTTCAAAGTCACCCTGTAAAAGCTGAAGATATAAGAAGTAGGAAAGTAGTTTGCTCCATCAATTTATTGTGGATTACATGTTGCTAGTAATTTCTCACAACATATCTTAAGCTAGCCTCTCATTCAGCTGAGAAAATTTAATACACCTCTTTCAAGATACTGCCTAGATGGGAAAAAATCAGTAAAAAAGTCCATTATGCAGTTCATCAAATGGATCTTTATGAGGATATTGGAGATGTGATTTGTGGCACTATTTAGGATACATTACATACTACATTATTATAAAGTTCAGGTTTGTAATTTAATTATAGGCCAAATTATCTTCAGTTCTAACTTTAGTCGAAGTGACTAAGCCAAGCCTAACAGCTGATATAAATTGTAAATGATCTGAGTGTCATGGGCCGCAATAAAGGCTGTGTTACATAATTTTATACTTCGTGTGGGATTTTCAGAGCCACCTAAAGAATTAAATGAGGTGTTCACACCATGTATATTCTACCATTATGCTATTAAGTGTTCCTAGTAAAATTATTGCAAACAGTCATTTTTTCCCCAAAGAAAATAAATATGTTTTCAGAGGATAAAATTGTGTTGAAGGATTTTTGTGAATATAAGGGTCCACAGAAGTGTGACCAAGCACAGAGGGTTTTTTTTAAGGCCATTTACGATAAAGATTTTAAGCCTTCTGTCAGAATTCTGGGATGTAATTATTTTCCATTACTTCTTGATAACCCTCTGAATTTCTCATAGCTTTCCTTTTTTAATATACTTCTGTATTTTTTTATTATTCACTTTCCAAATTTCCTCCTAAGATTCTGCCATTTTTACTTGTGATAATTTATATTGCTTTCTACTAGGGCATGATATAGTTTGCTTTTGGAAATCCCTTATTTTCTTTTGACAGATGTATCATTTTAAGAGAGAGAGAGAAAGAGATAAACACATATATGTATGTGCATATATAATGCTTTTTATGAGTTAGTTATGTATTGAGGAAGTCTCAAAATTGACTATAATTTGTTTATATATCTTTTATTTCTCTCTGACTGATTTTCTTATTCTAATCCATCTTTAAGTTTCTCATTCTAGTTTTTCCTCTTGCAAGAATAATGGCTATAATCATTTTATGTATTGCAATTTAATATTCACCTACAGTAAGTACTGTACATGTACATTAAGAAAAATGCTTCCTCGCATTTCAAAGAACAATATATATAATTTGGGGAAATTCCTGAAATATATTGTGTATGAAACATAATCAGCAAGTTTGTGGGTAACCGAAGTCACTCTGTTGCTATTCAATCTGCATATTACTTTTTGATCCTCTGTTCCTTGGCGTGTTTCAGTGAACAACCTGATTTTTATGACATTTTAGCACATGTAGTCATACATTTCTACAGAGTGCAATGCACTGTCTTTCTTATGTTAAACAGAAACTTCATCTCTTTTCATAGGAAGATGAAGAGTGTAATTGGAGGGTGTACTTTGTATCAGGAGTACTCTTCCAGTGCAGCATAGCTACTAAGCTAAGGTTTTTTTCTTAAGAAGTTTCTTAAGGGGCAGTTTTATGACAGATGTGAATCAGAACAAGCTTCGTAAGCTTCCACTCTCCTTCACCTATGTTATAATAAATGAGAGCTTTTGGTTAAGAAAAATGAGTGCTTTCACTTACTTTTACAAAGTATTTCTGCAGAAATGAGGGAGATGACTATGTTGAATTGTGATATAGAGGTTATCCTGTAGGACCTGGAGATGCAACTAGCTCTTAGTTATGTGTTTGGGGAAGGTGAGGGGGGAAGGGACAGGTGAGAGAAATTATTACAGGAGTTGTAATTATTACAGGTGTTTTTATTATTACAGTAGTGCCCCTTAATTGGGAATAGTGTCTCAAGATGGTTTGGGTTCATTGTACAACGACCTAGCCAAAATGAAGACTTATGAAACAAAGGTATATTTGGCAAGAAAAACACAGGCCAGTCAACGTAGTTTTTGTTACCCTATAAATGAAAAAATTAGAGAGAGCAGAATCTCATCCTCTATTTAAGTGTCAGGGCATGGTGAGCACCAGCTCTCCCTAAGGTATGTGGTGCTGAGGGAGATACTATGGCCAGCAGGACAAGGGGCCATGCTGGCCAGGGCCCATCCCACTGACCCCAACCAAGGCAAGAAAGACCAGCCCAGGGATGGTAGCCACGTCCAGACCGTCAGGCAATTTTATGATGATGAAGCAGGTCTGAGGAAATCAAGCCAGGAAGTCATGCCAAAAATTAGGGTCAGGATCAGTTCCAGTGAAGTTAATGAGAGTCAGACACAGTCTAGGGATGATTTAGCATATTCACAGCGATCAGATAGGTGAAGCTCAGAAGTCACACTGCAGATTGGGATCAGCAGGGTTCATATCTGACAGAGTGAAGATCTATCTTCTTTTCTGTGATGTGATATGATACATGCAGGAATCCATCCTGTTTGTGAATCCCATGAATAGCCTCATGAGGCTCAAGGGCTTTGCTTGTTACTTCTACAGCCACCATTAATCTGAAAGAAAAAAGTTCATGATTATGTATGTGTCCATCAGTTTCTGAAAAATAATGTAATTCCTTATTCCTATCTGTCTACAAAACTGTATTCATTTTCATTCATGAGTTCACTTCCCTTTGTATTGAACAATCATGCTGGTGCCAATTTCCTCTTTGCGGATCTCCTCAAAGAAGTTAGGATAGCCTTAGACAAGATTAAAAATCAAGAAGGAATTCATCAGAAAGTCAATCACTATACCCTACTAAGTGCTCATATTTACCATTATGTTGAGCTTCAGCTCTGGACTTCAGAGAGATGCAGGTTTTCCAGTTAGAAAAGCACCAACAAATATTTACTTTTGTCCCATTAAAAGAGACGGAATATGAACACGTGCACAGGCTTGCCCCATGTTGACTATACTGGAAGATTAATAAAGGCAGCCAAGCTCTGACAGTCCGGATACAGGATTTGGGTGGATGATATTTACTTTCAAACAGCTTTCTTTATAAGAACTACAACATGAAAAAAGGAAGAATGTTGTCCCAAAGGTGGTTCAAAGCGTACATGATTAAGAGCAGTACACTGGTCAACTCTTTTGCATTCTTCACTGAAACTAAGAATAGAGCACCAAGACAGAGTATTTTCAGAAGAACAGCATGCACAGGAACAAGAGCAGTGTACAGGGCAAAGAGCTCTGCAGCAAAAGCAGCAGGCAGGCTTATATATGGAATGGTGCTGAGAACTGAGCATTGAAAGGTACTGATCCCAAATAAATTACATTGCTTTGGCATATCATGAGCTTGACTCTCCTACCCTCTGCCCCTTGACAGCAGTGCCACTTTCTGTAACACTCTCAGTCCCTGTAATGATCACCCCAAGTTCTATTTAAGTGATACGACTTTCCTGTGGCCCTTCATGTCACAAGTCAGTAACGATACTGGGGATGAGTGACAATATAACTGAAATGAGAAAGTATGTACAAGTATGATGGTTCTATATGGGAGTTTTGTTGCATTTATGCCTAGGGGAGATTCACATTCTCCAGCTAAGGGCAATCTAATAGATAAAGAACTAAGCTAAGCTCTTTCTGTGATTAATGAATTAGCACTTAACTGAAGTTCTCACTTTTGTCTGGTAAAGAAAAACTAGCAACTACAAAATGCAGTTCACCCACTCTTAAAATATTATCATCATGGCTAGGCTTCGCAAACAAAGATTAAGGAAGGCTCTATCCACATTTATTACAGCCACGCTGGTGGCTAATGAGGCCAATACGAGATAGACATAACTGATTGCAAAAGGCACAGTAGAAAGACTCCTTAGGTGGTATATTCCGCAAGACACGGTTCTTTCTGCTTTGTCTTTTCTCCTTGAGAGTGATCCTGTGTGTGTTCTCAAAGGAGACAGCAGCGTTATAGATGGTGTGTCTCCAGGCCTCCCAGTTGGAG